TGTATAGATTCTAATCCCAGACTATGTTTTCTGATGCTAGCAAAGTGCAAATTATATCTAAAACATGGAGTAGGTACATGGTTATATAAATATTTTTGTTTGTAAATATATTTGTTTTAAAATTTGATTCTCTATGGAAATCTGGGAGGAAATACATGTAAATGGAATAAAGTTTCATTAGAGCAGGGATTTGCAAGCCTTCTGGAAAGGGCCAGATGGTAAACAGTTTTGGCTTTTAGGCTATACGATGTCTGTCACAACCTCTCAACAATGCTGTCTTAGCATGAAAAAACATTATTGTTTATGGCTAAGTAATTTACAGCTGCTTAGCCATACAGAATATGTAAATGAGTGAGTATGGCTGTGTTCCAATAAAATTTTTTTTGCAAAAACAAACAGTGGGACCAGATTTGGCCCATGGACTGTAATTTGTTAACCATTGATTTATAGCAAACATTTTAGAGTCTAACAAATCTGTTTTCAGATCTTGCCTCCATCACTTATTAACTTCTGGAAGCCTCTAGTTCCTCATCTATTAAACAGAGATAGTCATAGTTCCTACCTCATGGTTTTTGTGAGCATAAAATGAGATACTACATGTCAAGTGCTCAGAACTATGGCTGGCACATAGTAAGTGCTCAATACACAGTAGATAAACTGCTTTTGTTGCTCTCATTATTTTTTTTTTATTATTGGTGTATCTCTAAAGGCAACTGAGATTCATATTCTATAGAACCTCGGGTGTTAATCCTAAAAGCATGTGACAAGCCCAGAGCTGGCAGAGACCCACATGCTCGAGACTAGAGTGGTGCTGCACCTGCTACCAAGCCCTGGGTGGTCTCTGAGGAAAAACATCTCATGCATACAATTTCAGTTCTGCCCAAAGTGGCATCCATTTATGTACACAGTTGAGGGCACTGATGTGAGCAGAAAAGAGAATTATTTACACAGAAATGAATATATACACAAAACTCGAGGATTTCAGAGAAACTAGCAAAATTGGTCTTGTGATTTCTGGAACAGGAATGTATAATTAGGACTAAAAGTATTTTGTTGTTAGGAGGCACTGTACCTGCATATTAGCCTCCCGAAGGATGTGATATTTAAAATAATTCTTACACTAAATTTAACATTGCTTAGATTTAAAAGTGCTGTAGGAGAGGAGTTACTGTATTATGGATCGGCTCTTACTCAACAACTGACAGAAGCGCCACCTTGTGTTTTCTTTCTTGCTGTCCTTCGACTCCCTTCTTTTTTTATATTATATATCTCCAAGCTGCAAATTTCTCTTAGCAATAAATAGGAACTTCAAAGTTATTATCAATTGAGTCTAAGGAGTCTTTTTTCCATTTCCCCAAAATTATCAAAATGGATTTAATGCTTCCTTTATATCTTGCCTTCAGAACCCCATTTTGGTGTTTAACACTGTAAGGACCATGAAGAAATATGTCTTTGAGAGCAAGGCTTCAAAGTCAGATCTTTACCGGTAACCTCCTTCTGACTTCTAAATTTTAACTGTCTCCAAGTGGAGAATAAAAGAGTTAGCATTCAAACAACTTTATGTGCTGCTTGGAAGAGCAATTTAGTAGAATGTTTTTCCTTCTCTTCATGCCTCATTTGTCAGTCAGATTGAGCTCATTCTGTGGCAGTCATGTTCTTTATGTGCTTTTACTTGTTTGATTCATGACACTGGGGAGGGGAAGAGAAGAAAGACGTCCATCGGCAGCAAATGGGGCCTATTTGTTTCAAATTCCACTAAAGGTGAATTTAATGGAACTTAATTGTCAGAGGTGCAGAAACTGTAGATTTAAAGGCTTATAAATCCAAGCAGTCACTAAGCATAGCATCTAAAAGTACAATTAAGCTAAGTAAATAAAGGCGACTTACATACTGAGCCGTCTTTTACGCAAGGTATTTACTGCCTGAAACCGCTTAACTGCCTTTCCCTTGTGGTAACAAAAGTGGTCGGTTCATATGACTTTCTCCCATGATCCTTTGTCACAGGTCCTAGTGCCACCAATCTCATAATAGGCTCCATCGCTGGTGCCATCCTGGTAGCGGCTATTGTCCTTGGGGGCACAGGCTGGGGATTTAAGTAAGCAACGCCGCATGTCTTCTTCTCGGTGGCTCTGGCACTTCTCTTTTCTGCTTACATAACCAAGTTTTGAGTTCCTGCTACAAGATTTTAGCTTTTAACAATCAAACTGCAAAAGCAAATCTTTTAACTCAGAAATGGGTTAGAAAAGAGGAAACATGAACCCTCGAATGTCATCTTCAGGCAAGTGGGAAATGTAGAAGGAATTTACATACACTCATTTTTAAGGAGAACGAAGTAGAAGCTCTTCAGTAGCAGACATTCCAGCTTATAGGAGCAAGCATTCCGAGATACCCTTGTTTATACACAGGTAATTGAGGAAACCATGTAGTTGGAAATAAATAATTGTAAAGTCCTTGTATCGGTTTAAAACCGATTTCTATTCCACTGATACTTTGAAATTTCACCACCTAAGTAACCACATGGTCATTATCTTTTTTTTCCCCATGTAACATGTAGCTTTGTGGTTTGAAAAGCTTTATTATATGAGAAAAGATTTTAAAAATATTTGCATTAATTTCCTAATCAGCCGAATTGGTTTCAAATTAGAATTTGAAATCTATGGCCTTGACACTTAATATTTTCTAATTAATGGCTAACTACGGACATGACTGGTAGGCCTGGTGTGTCTTCATAGTGGCCTTTTAGTTTGGATTGAATGTTGATCACTCAACCAAGGTTGTTAAATAGACACACCAGATAATCACAGACTTTAATTATGATAAAAAATTTTAAACCTGTTTATCCAGTTTGGATGCCTTATGCTCCAGAATCATTGGGTAGTCACTTTTTACACCTTTGCATGCTATGGTGACTTGAAGATTTTGATTTGTGGGTAAGCCCTTCTGTGCCAAATATTCCCTGTGATAAATTAAGTTTCAACCAGGTCTAGAGAAACACATTTAAGTGGGAAATAAGACCTTTACCCAAATTCAAAATCCACTTTGCCTCCATCTGGTTACTCAATAGAGAAAGCTTTTGCCCTGAACTATCTGAATAATTGCCTTAATTATGAATTTTATTCTATTTTATATTTGGAATCTTGAATTCAATATATTTCAGCCAGCTAAAATATGATTGGAAATTGATTATAAAAGAAAAACACACTAAAAGATTGTTTAAATAAATTCAGCATTTTCTGTTAATTTGTTATCATATTAACATTTAATGAGTAAGCCTACGGGTTTTGAGTAACTTTAACTTTAGAAAGGTATTATCAAATGGTACTTATTTTTAACTGGGACTTATTTAGTGGAATAGTTTTGGCATCAGTGTGTTTTCAAAAGTACCCACATAAAACGAGCAACTCACATTTGAATTTTTTGTCTTGGTATTAATAAGACATTGCTCAGGTCATGAGTCACTCATGTGGCATCTAATAAAAAATATATTTTTGTTTGGGCTGGCTTAATTCAAACAAAAACTGGTATCTCACTGGTATCTCACTTATATAAAAAAGTCATTGCACATTATAGTAATGCAATACTCTTATTATTTTATAACGCTCCCTTGAATTTTTCCATAAATAAGCCTCAAGAAAAATAAATTTAACCCATGCCCAGGCTTATGCTTCCATGGCATTAAGAAATCTCAGTCTCAAAGGCCTGGAAAACAGTCTTCTCTGTGTCTTTGCCATCCAGCCACATGCAATGCCAAATTTACCATCTCAACTTTTGGAGATAAAACACACTATTCTGTAGCAGGACCACAAAACAGTGGCCTGGCCTAGCTCACAGCTTGAATTGCATGTTTCTTTGGGGAAAAATGGAAAAGCCTTTATCACTGTGTATATAAGTGGATTAAGCTCTGTTCAGATTATTTATATCTGAGAGAGATGTCTCATCATCAGAAGAGCAGAAAACAAAGGGTCGGGGATCAGTGGTCACTTAGTGAGTTGAGAAGGAGCCTTTGCTGACTGCTGCCTGGGGGTTGCTGTGTAGGGACCTGTACCGCTGAGCTAAGTCCAAGCCCCTTCCCAAGCCCTGTGACTCTAATAATCACTTTAAGGGAAACCTTTGTAGAAAGGCACACAATAGGATGAAGTGTTTTATGCACTGAAGCAAAGAAAAAGTGAACACTAAGAATAATTCTAGAACATATAACTTTAGGAGTTTAAATTTGGAGAAGTTGCTACAGGAGGATCTTAGTTCACTTCAGATTTTAATAGTAGCTATGTGGCTTGTATTAAGCTTTAAAGCCTTGTAGTAAAAGGCTTTCGGTGCCAAATGATGATGTTTATTAGGTTTCCCACCACTTGGGCAGTTTTGGAGACTATTAATCTAGAGATAATTTGGAAGTATTATTTGCTAGTTCAAGTGGAAAGCCATTGAATGTTTCATTGAGTTCAATGTAAATTAAAAAAAAAGAGATTCCTTTAGAATCAGAAATTAAAAATAGTTTGTAAAAAAGATTGCTCTAAATATGGCTATTCAGAAACCCTCCTGATATCAAATTTTTATTACTAGAAAAAAAGTTGGTAAAGTAACCTGAAGAATTTGGGGACACGTAAACTTTTAGATTAAAGGAAAATATATTAACTGCTCAGGCAAAATATTGCCTTTCCCTAAAGTCACATCTCTTTAGATGTAATACTCTGAGTAGTTTAGACATGGAAGAAGTATCATACCATATATGACCTGCTCAGGTATAAATGAGAAAGACAGCTATGCCCTGAGCCTTGACATTGTGTAGCATTCTTTATGATTCTTTTCTTAAATAATATTTTCTCTGAAATACGTGGTAGAAAGCATGAATATGTATGTGTGTGCATGTGTGAATATATGCACGTTTGTATGTGTAAAGTGATAATGAAGATTTATCAAAATTATTGTAGCCTGAAAATTACACAAATTTAGATTACCTACTTGTTTTTGGTGGAATAGTGGAGTCAGAAACCTTTGGTTAATGTAAACAAGACTTCCATAACCAAGGTTGTGGAATTCTTGAAAATTAAAAAATATGTTTTATTTGGTGGACTGTTTTTTTTTTTTTTTTAACATATTCCGACATATTGGGTAATGCAGTGGGTGTACTTTAGTAACTTTGGTTAATCCCATACTCCAGGAGTATGAGGATACTAAGGGTTGATTTAGTCTATGGATTCCCAGGTGTTTAGGGTCTTAGGATTTTCTCTGAGAAGTCCTGTGAAAAATGAAGGCACAAGGCACGCCAATTTGTCCACCTTCTCCCCATGTCTGCATTTATTTCCATTCACCCCATCCTCCTTTTCCACCCCATCACTGGCACACACAGAATAAAGTTATGAATTGTGGTACGGAGGATTGCAAACCTCTGTCCTGGTTGATTCATGGGGACTCGTGACACTTACCCAATGTTGAATGATAGCACTGCTTGATCAGACGGTTAGAGCTGTTGCTTTTCCTGGACATTGGAGAAAATCAAGTAGATGAGGAATCATTTTAGTAGGATCTTCCCTAAAGCTTAGGAAAGATGAACAGTACATGGAGAATTTCATATCTCCATTTAAAAATGAACAGGATTGCCCTTGTCACCGTGGATGTGGCTGTTTATTTGACATTCCCTAAATTTGAATATAGGAATTTAAATATGGGCAAGGTGGTCATTTACATGCACATTGGTAGGTGATGGTGATAGGAAAAGAGACATTCTAGAGGATGGTAAGAAAAGAACATGAAGGTAACAGTGACAGTTTGTTGATAATTCAAGTCAAAAGGATTCCAGGATGAATATTGAGCTCTTCCAACCAAATTATAATGTCTCGGTCTATGGAACCTGGTTACCACATCCTCCTATCCCACTACTTGCTCTGTCCATGAGATTCAGTGGCAAAGTGGGTTTCTACCACCACTAATAGTGTCCATACTGGCCTGGCATAGCTACTCCTGGCACTAATGGTGTTAATTTAATAAGCTTGTATAAATATTACATGTGGTTTCTTCTCTCTGAGAAGTTACTTGGGTTACAATTTCATACTGATTGGATTAATTTTGGATCTAAGAGATTCTGTGTGGCCTGTGTTCCATTTTGTTGGCCATGCTAAAGAAAAGACTGCTCATGTACTCACATAAATGAAATTTAAAGGACTATATCTAGATTATTACCAGGAAAGTTAACTGAATTGTTCGAGTGTCAAGTTGGATGAAATTTGGAAAGGAATGTGGTATTGCTAATTATATTTTCTCAAAAGAGTAAATGTCTGGATTTTTTTGCTTTTGATTTTTACAGAATTGGGAAATGGAATCCACTTTAGCTAGTCTTTCCATGAGGAAGATAACCAGACTGCTGCTTGCTCCCATGCCATGGCCACATCCCAGTGCAAACTAAGGAGCCTGAGTCCCTTAATGCCTGGGACTCCTGGGTTAGGCCCTTCTCATTCTCACCTTAGCAGGTAGCAGTGGTGCTAGGCTGGCCAGGAAGATGCAGTGCATTTCCCTGACTCAGCCCCTCAGGGAAGTGAGCTCAGTCTAAGGTGGCCCAGGAGTCTAAGTGGGAGTGATGGTGACTCAGCGTAGAATGGGAAGAATGTGATAGCAGTAGGTAGATACACCCTTGAAAGGCGATCTAAAGGCTTTATAGCTCTGAGATGGTTATTGTTACCTAAAGAATTTTGTTTTAATTTTGTATGGATGTCTATGTGTGTAATATATATTGTAGACAAAAGTCCAGATTTTTCAGAAGTAGTAAAAATTGATGAAAACTGTAAGGTTTATGGATTCCGCTGATACTTTATAATGATCCAGAAAAACCTTACAGGTTATGATGAGAAAGTTAATTTCCTTCAGAATCTTAGTGAACAGATTCAGAGAAAACGATTGTGGAAGGAAAACAGCAAAGACCTACCCACAGTAGTTGTACTTTCACATTAAAATAGAACAAAAAGAATTTTTTTCATACAGAAAATTCAGGACAACCTTTTCTCAACATCCAGTGGCCCTCAGTGGTTTTACAATTTATATGTGAGGAGCCCTTGCAGTCCACGTGCTGCGGGAGTGTCCGTCTCGTCACCAAGTCCCCCTCCCAGGTGCTGCAGCTCACCCTCCCCCTGCTGGGACATCAGCGGACAAGCTAAGGTCCTGGGATCCCCTGTTGGTATGCACAGACCATTTCCCCTGGAAAGACGGTTCTACAGAGTGGTTCGGCCCCCTAGTCTAACCTGGGAACCCCGCAATCCTGTAGATCATCGTTTCTGTAAAAGTGCAATCTAATCTTTGAAAACCAACTTTTAAAAGGAGCACAGGCTTTTGGACACCCGGGGTCGCCTGTGTGCCAGGCTGAAATGGAATTTCATGTCTCCATTTAAAAATGAACAGCACTGCTATTATGATCTTGAACATGGCTATTTATCTGACATTCCCTGCATTTGAAGGAATTTAGATGTGGGCAGGGTAGTCATTTACAGGCATGGAGCTAGCTTGGTTTGCTCTTTCCTCTGTATTTGGATTAATTGAGGAGAAGTTAGTCTAACATTCCTCTTGAGTTCCAGCAATACATAGCTAATGAGCTTTGGCTCCTAGTGCTTCAGGGCCATCTCACAAGGTCAGGGCCTCTGTTTCTCAACCCTGACTCACAAGGGCAAGTGTGACTCCTTACACCTCCGCCTCCAGGGGTATGAGCGGGTGCAGACCCTGTGCTCCGCGGCAGACTAACTTGGTAGAAGACACATTATGGGAGACATCTCTTTGGTCTCACCTCTATTTCCTGGGCAGCATCAGCAGTGCCTGCCTTCAGGAATATTTCCTCTAAAGAGGGCAAGGTGGGAATGGTGAAGAAAAGGAAATAGCACTGCTACAAATAGTATTTGCCGCAATGGATTACCTGCTGGGCCAATGAGCCACATGCATAGGACATTCACGAAGATGTTTGCATGAAAACTTTAAAAAAGAAAAGGGAAGCTTAATTCAAAGATTTTTATGTTTGATATTTCAAAAGAGAAGCATCAAAGTGGTCATCTTGGGAAAAATAAGAATTTTGCAAGAGGCCTTTATACTGATTTTGAGCTTTGGTATTGCTTTTATTTTGAATTACTTATGGGGGAGGAGGACTTGATTGTAATCCTTTTGGTACTTCGGGCCTGTAAGGGTATATCCAGCTGGCCCCGAGTGAGTGGGCAGGGGAAGGAGGGGTCTGGGGACTCCTTGGTCTCCAATGTTGCATGACGCCCCGGTGGCAGCAGCGTTGCACCCGCACAGTATGCAGACTAAATGCATGAGCCCCCTGCTTGGTGCCCCACATGAAGCCAGACTACGGGGAGGTTGCAACCAACTTTTGTTGTTGCCTTGTAGTGTCTTGCCAGTTCTTTCTTTTTTCTTTTCAAACCTAGGAACCACTTTTTAGGAGACTGGACACTGTGAGCAAGGCATTTGAACTTGCTTATTTTCAACTAAGCTCAATGCTGCATTTGCTTAACTAACCCGCGCCTGTGTCCATTCTCCTTTGAGTGTACCGTCTTACCGTGCACTCTGTTTTACAACTTGCTAGATATGAAAAATGCTCGTTCCACGGTGGAGTAAACGCTCATACACCCAAGGCAGCAAGATAACTGAGGAGAGCAAAGGCCAATCCACTGATCCCGAACTCTAGAGACCTGGAGGGAGGTAGCTACAAGCCCTTCAGTTTTCCTTAGTTCTCCCAACAGCCCCCTTTGTGGAAGAGGCCTCCCGTGATAATTTTCATCCAGTGCATTAGCAATGTCATTTAATTCTGAAATAAGAGACAGATTGGGCCGTGGAGTCTTCTTGTGATTTAAAATGAACAATTTGAAACTTCTTTGGTCTTCACAAAAGGACAGAGGACCTACTCTAGTGGGGGTGTTGTGGAGACATTCGAAAGCATTAGCTGCTCTGTTTCCTTTTCAAGTTATTCTGGAGGCTGCCTCTGTGTGAGTTGATTACTTTGCTGTGGAACTAGCATCATTGTCATTCTCATCACCTTTCTCTCATCATCATCTGATTAATATTGTGGATTTTCCCCCTCTGCTTGCATCTTCTTTTGACGCACTCTGGAAGAAATGTCAAGAAGAGGAGGTTCGATCCTACTCAGCAAGGTGCCATCTGAACCGGCGGCCCGGGATGAGCACCGTCTCGCACCGTTGGGCTCTGGGTATGACGTGCTCGCAGCAGTGCTGCCAGGACTGCTAAGCGTGTGAAGAAGAACCTTGGGTGGTCATGACTACAGAGCTAAAGTCGGGGTGACAGGGATGGTGTAAAAGAAAGCTATCCCTTTTGGAAATAATTTCAAAGAACCCCTCTTACCACCTGTCAATAAAGGGGAGCAAAAGACCATGTTATAAAAAGAACTGTTTCAGAATCCTTTTTTTTTTTTTCTGACTAAAGGAAGAAGGAACAACAACAAAAAATTAAGTGCAATAAAAGAACCATTAAAAAATAGCAAATGATTTATTTTCCCTCAGCCTGCTGGCACTTAATATCTTCTAAATGATTTGGCATGATTTTTTTCCCTTTACTACCAATGACAAACTCCAGTGGCATGAAGATCTAATTTTCGAAAGGGTAAAAACTGCATGGCATATATACAACAACAAGCTAGCAAGCCAATTCTCAACCAAACCTGAAATGGAGTCCCTAAGGTGAAGGCGACAGATGAACACACAGAAGCTGCCTGGGCCTCTTCACTTAAATGTCTCCCCACCCCCCATTCCTTAAGCCCCGACCCCCACCCCTAGAGCCCCCACTCCTCGCTCGAGACCAGACCATGGCAGAACTCCATGGACTGTGCTTTCGTTGACTCCTTTTCCCCGTTGTTTTTTCTCCTGGACCAAGCATCCTTTGGAAATGGGAGCTGGAATTTGAACACTGATGCTATTGTATAGTTCTTTTACCAATGTAAATATGGAAATAAGAGATTTTGACACATCATTTTCACTTGTCTGTATTGAAATATTTTTCCTGTAAAGGTTCTCTGTAAAGTTGTTTTATCGTTCGCTCCCCATCTTTTTTGTTTTTTTTGTCTCTGTCCTTCTTTCATATACCATGCTGTACAACGACAACTGGACTTGCTTAAAAAAGACAGACAGAGCCACAGATGCAGGGAGTTTGGGCACAAAATAGGTGCAATTTAAAGTTGGTATGCTTGAAACCAAAACTAGACAAAGAGTGTGGGGGGGACACAAACAACAAAATAACCCATATGAAAACACAAAAATTCTGTAAATGCAAATATATGTACTGACAAGTCTCTGAAATTTTTTGATGCCATTATAAACATATGTATATAATGTATGAAAGTAGACACCCTTTCAAAGTAATCACAAAAGTGCCAAGCTCATGATTTTAATTTTTGGTTTCGTCAGTTTTCTTTCCCTGTCTTTAATGTGAAAGGAGGATAAACTTAAAGCCTTAAATAAAAAAAATAATTTTTAAATGTTGAAAGCTTGGGAAAAAATTAAGCTTTCCATTTTATTTGTATCTGTTATTGTCAATGTTTCATTCATGCTTCATCTTCCTGCCTCAAAATATATATGGTAGAACCCATTGTAAAAGTGGTTTTGGGGACAGAAGCAGAAATCGCCTTTTTTAAAGCATTGTTATAATAGGCTTTCTTTCTGTGTGTTGTGTTTGCAAAAATGTCCAATCTTTGAACGTTGGGTTGTGCTGGTTTATAATTGGATTCTACTGTATACAGAGTCACTGTCTTCTTTTTCCTTCAGGCAGATTTGCAGATGTAATCTGAGGTTTCCAAGTCCCTCTGAGCTTCCTTCACTTTCACCGATTTCTTTTTTCTGTTTATGGTCAAGATAGCTTCTGTTCAAGTGTTATGTAAATAAGTTAATAAAGAAATTTGGTCCCAACCTTGTTTTGAATGTACAAACTCATACATGATCACTTCGGTGAGCATCCATTTAGAGACAAACTTTACTAAAGGCCCCCAAAGAGCCTCCACTTATCTAATGTCCTCTTTTTAGGAACGGGACGTGGAATTGTACTATTCACTTCTTCATGACACCGAATCTGTTGCTAGATTTAGCTCTAAGTCCCTTTTCAGCAAGATTCATGACGTAAGTCTTACAACTTTTTCTTTGATGTTGGAAAGAATTATTTCCTAAGATGCACTGCTTAAAACAGTGACTTTCCCCCCAAGGTATTTTTAATTGTGTAAATATCACAATCATAGAGCAGAAACCTAATTTTCTATATACTACAATAGACTATCACCTAACATCTTATTCCTATTGTTGCTTTCTGAGTAATAGGTGCTACACAGGTAGGCAGACGTTCTCTAGGACTAGCTGTATGTTTATTTTGTAATAACAGGGCTATCTACAGGGTCTCTCACCTTACTCCTGGCTTCACAAGACACAGGTTGTATCCCTCTGCTCAGTGGCAGTCGCTCTTTCGGCTTGGAGGAAACTCAGAATACTTGGTATCTCTTCCTGTTGCTGCATTGCTTAGTGTCTCCCTGTTGCTGTGTCCTACTCACTCGCAGATACTAAACTGCTGCTAAGTACATCATACATGTTTCACCACTATTCTAGAGGCGCCATGGTGACAATGGAAACAAAACCATGGTGGTCACAAAACAAGCTAAATCTCTATTGTTAACTTCTGAGCATTTCATAAACAACATTGTAAATGTGCGATGTTATGTTTCAAAGCAGACCACAGTGGTCCCCAAATATTATGTACATATGGCAAATGTCAGTGTAACTTTTTGTTACACTGGCAGTTTCATAGGTAATCAAACCTATGCTCCAATGTTAAATTATTTGTGTGTATATATAAAATACACAAGCTTTAGGCTATGTGTGTATGAATATGAAAGATAATGCAACCATACTAATCGTAAACAATGGATTATAATTATTTTTGGTGGTATAGGTTATGTAGTTTCAAACTCTTTGCTGTATTTTCTCTTGCACATGCCATTCATTTGCTAACTTTTATGGCGTGGGTATTCCTTTTTATTAATTTGAGCTCAAAGCACAAGTATCACTGTTTAACGTTACTCAACAAATGTTAGTGTTAAATGATGACCAAGTTCCCATTTCACCTGCTGTACTTTTGCTGCATTAATTAATGACACCTGGGTGAGGAGACGTGCGTGACCTTCATTGCTCACCTGAGATAGTGCATGTGCCCATTGAATTAGAGCTACTCCTACTAGATAACAGAGTAGTACACATAGGTGCATGTTACAAAACACGAATCACATAGAGCTGTGGAGTTTTACCAAGTGGTGTGTTTTGTTTTTGTTTTTTACTATGCAAAGATGGGAAATGCACAAACTTTTCAAAGACTACTGTCTAAAGAACTTTATGGACAATACTTGAACCCTTTCTTTAAAGTCATCCCATCATGTTTTATAGTCATTGTTGCTTCCATAGTTAATTTTCATTTTTAAGTGCTTTGTAATTTTTTAAGTGCACAATCTAAAATTTTGTTTGAAGTTAATAAATTCATTCGTATCTTGTTGGCTGCCTATGAATGGAGATTCAGTAGTCATTGTATGCATCTTTTAGTCGAGCGTGTATTAAAACTTTTGTTATTGTAGCATTTTGTAGCTTTCCACTTTGATCATTTCTCTTAAATCCTTTTTGTGTTTTCACTTATATTGTTGATTAAATGGCCATGCACCTGATATCGTCAGAGTTTTAGCATTGGTCTCAGAGGCTCAGTGAAAATTTAAGCAGTCAATGGTGCAAAATAAAATCTCTGATTAATGATAAGTATACTTCTGGTTAGGATTCAGTTTTATTTGATTCATTGGAAATTCTTTGCTTCTTATAAATCAGAAAAAAAAAAAACCCACGTTAGAATCACACCACTATCAATTTTTTTCTTTATTGTCTGTCTTCGGAGTTTAAAGAGCAGATGGCTCATAATGACATCCACACTTGTGATCTGGTACCAAATTTATAATCAAACAACAAAGAAAGTAGAAGAAAATCTTGTCATATAAACTGTGTTATCAGAAACATTCTAAGGAAGGTATTTCACATGGAATTGGTCACCACATTATATCTCTTCTGCATGAATGTCTTCAATATGTCTCCTCTCATCCCCACTGCCTTGGTTTGGCCTTAACAGCCACATGCTACTGCACTGACACGCACACGTGCTAATCTGACCACGTCATTACCCTGACGAAAGTCTTGCAGGTCTTTTCATTTCCTGCAGGATAAAGCCCAAACTTATCAATGTGACTTAAAGTTCTACCTGCCTTTCATGACCTCACACCTGTTCGTTTTTCTAGCCTCAGTGGATCTCAACCTCTCATAGTCACCCACAGTTCCCCAAAAAGAGCCTCTCTACCCAAAGCTGAATAATAATAATCTAATTTAAATTTTATGTCCCTTACCCATAATTCATTTGTTCTAATGTCATTTCTTGTAATAAAAGAAATATAGAGGGGAGGGAGGGTAAGGGCATCATACGTAACCTAATCATCTGTACCCCCATAACATGCTGAAATAAAAATTTAAAAAAAAAAAAAAGAAATATAGAAACACTTAAAAATAACGTGAATATTATACGTAAAATAAGAAAACTTATTAGAGTGTCATTTATATTTGACTTTAAAGGAATGATCTGATTTTTGGCATGTTTTCCTTTAAGTCATTCTATTTTCGAGGTTGACATTGAAATGAGTTCTGCTCCATGAGAAAGATGACCCAGAAACCAGAAAGTCCCTAGATAATGAGCAGCCCTAGAATTAAAGTTTGATGTGAATAATTAAGTAGATAATCCATATGCACATGATGGAATTACTAAGTAACTTTTAAAGTTTAAAATAGATGACCTTTAAGGTGCAAGGGTTAGGGATGTCTACTCATTAATTTATTCATTTGACAAATATTTATTAAGCCCTTAAGGCATGCCTAGAACTCCAGGAACCGAAGGAACAAATGAAAATTCTTGGCCTAAAGTTGCTCACAATTTAGCAGGAAGAGACAAGTGTTTAAAACAAAAAATCTCTGAGCCCAAAGTGATAAGTAAGCTACGCTAATCTTTTGCTGGAAGTGAAAAGAAGTGTTGGGTAGGTGGGAGAGGGATGCAGGAAGGCTCGAAAGAAGTGAGTTTTGAACTATCTTGAAAGAT